AATCTGCATCTCCCCCAGGTCACCACCTTAGGTCTTTGTTTTTAATCAGTGTTAATTACATTCCTGATGGCACCAGCTCTCAGTTTGGTATCTACGTTGAAGACACAACCATTTATCTCTGTCTCGACAGGAAGGCTGATCACTTCAATTAGTTCAAAATGTGACCCAATGTCCAAAGCGACCTGCAGTTTATTGTTAATTGGGGCAAAAGATGTCTTGTTAATTCTAACGCCTCCCAAACTAACTATTTCTTCATTAATCATCTGCGAGACCCCACTCTGCCATCCGTCAGCATGGATAATGCTAAACCCCAGGAAAGTTTCTCGTTGCGACATCTATGGTAAATATTCTTAGTTGACATAAAGTGGAATGATTGCATTGAATCCATTGTTAGGTCAGCTGCTAAGAAAATGTGTTCAGTAACTCGCCCGAGACAATTTTTTCCTCCAGAATCTATCATACATATCTATAAGTCTACCATTCGCCCATTCTTAGACTATAGCTACCACATATGGTCAGGTGTTCCTGCTATTTATTTTGAGCTCCCTGATAAAATCCAAAGAAATTTCAGCAATATTATCGGTCCGGAACTGGCGTCTCGGCTTCAGTTACTTGCCCACCACTGGGAGATTCTCTCCCAGTGTCTTTTCTATAAATAATTGCATTGTAATTGTTCGCATGACCTCTTCGCGTTGGTACCTAGGCGTTATGAATTTAAGCGTAGACTGTCATCGAGATGTCATCAATTTACTGCTGAGCTAGCTAGATGTAACTGTAAATTTTATCTTTCTTCTCTCACCCTTCTCGCTTTTCAGTTTCATGCCTTGCAGCCAATTTTAATCTTCAAAATTTTAATTCAATATCAAACGCAATCTGCTGCCCTCCTGATTACTCATTTTGTTCTCATTCATTTGTAATGTTTCTGTTTCTAATTCTTCCCCACCCAGTAACCCTATGTGTCTTAGTGAATTTACTACCTTGCATGGGGTGAAATCGATTTAAAAATATGTTGACGGGAAATATAGAAAAAACCGAAAACGTAGATTTATAACAATGGCAGAACAAAATAAATGGTGCTAATTATACTGCAGGTTGTCAGAAAATGTACAGAATAGACTGCCTTCGAAGAACAATGGAGAAATGCTAGAAAAAAAATCATTTGATCCAGAATTAATCACTTTGAAGGATGTGCTGTTTGTGGCTGTCCAGGTTGTTGTCCATTGTCCACACACTTTGATGAGCCAAATGTCACAAACGCCTGCAGGAACAATACTTGCAAGGAATCACTGGAGCTGCGAAAATGTCAACGCAAATGTTCAAGTGATGACCAGTCTATTCTCGAACGCACCGACATAATGGAAACTGCTTCCTCTTCCCGGTAACACCTGCCAACTGCAAACCGCGACGTTGTCTTCTCTTTTTCAGTTAATTATACCGTTGAATAAAGGTACGTGCTGTCGTTGCGCTTATCGACACGAAAAACGGGACTTGGGATCTGATTTCGAAATTTTCTGCTGAAGCAGTTGATTTTTCTTTAATCAGTCTTGTCATTGGGGAGGCAAATTTTTTCACAGTACAGGTACCAAAGAGAGAAAAAAAAACTGAAAAGTTTCTCCCAAATAAAACTAGTGACTTTCTTTCGTCACCGAGCGGACCCTGGATGTTTATCTACGTGATAAACGGATGCTTTTTAAGTGAGAACCCGTGCTATAGTGATAATTAGGCCTGAAACTCAACCCTAACTTCAAGGGGAACTCCTACATAAAATATATCGCTAAACATGATGGAGAATAGTCGGTTCCATGCAGGTGACTCCTTCTGTTATCCTTTACCATTACAAGAGCGAGATCAGGCAAAAAATAGAAACCCCTGCTACATTTCTAATCTTCACATTTCAATCTTGATAACGTGCTAAATTGTTTCAAATTAATGCGATTAACCTGTTCTGTTTAATTTTTCTTGTGTTCGTACAAGTGTATTCTTTTCTGGATACAAAGTGCGTAAAAGATGTGCAAAATTCTGCATATCCGAGCGCTTTCGGCTATTCGTTTAGACATTATGAAGGGCGATTTTTATTCTTAACGGAATGAACACCTGACCAAATGATGTAGCAATAATCACAGCATGGTGGAATGGAAGACTTATAGATATGTAAGATAGACTTTGCAGAGGAAAATTGTTTAGTACGATACAATGAACCTACTTTCTTAGCAGCTGACCTCGCAATGGATTCCACATAGACCGTTTACTTCATGTCGGTCAAGAAGGCTGATATGAAGTAAAAAGACTATGTCGAGCGCGTGTGTATGCGTACATAGATTCATGTGAGTAACGACGAAGTTTTAGAGAAAATGGATAAAAATGATACTTAAAGAATTGGAATTTATATGGCATATGAGGAAAAAGGGTTTGGAAAATTTGATACTCACAGGACAGATTGAAGGCAAGAGTGACAATGGAAAGAATAACATAACTAACGAGTTTGTATAAATGGTTGGCAAAACAATGTTAAAGTTAAAAAGCAAAAAATGTCAAAAATTTATTCACACTAAATGACTTTTAATTTACAATGACCTACGACGAACTGGAAATTAGAGAAAGCCATGACTGCAAATATCATGAGGACACACGGTAGATAGAAGTATTCAGTTTTATGGGCTATTTATAGTGCTGTTGTGTGTGACAAATTGCAATTCACGACGTTTCGGACGATGTACGCTCCGGCCTTCTTCAGGTGATATTTGTTGGAATTCCGAACCGAGGCCTTTATTTAACTTTTTCAAGTCTAGGGTTAAACTTTATCTTTCTCTTAAATCTCCATAAAGTGTGTTTCTTAATCTGTAACCTTCTACCATGAGTGGCTCATGGGTCTTGTACAAGTGAACATTATTGTAAGAAAAAGTGGACTAAATGAAGGTTCCGGTTTGAAATTCCAATAAAATATCACCTGAAGAAAGCAAGGGCGTAAAACGGCCGAAACTTCGTAAATGAAAAAATGACAGCAGACCGAACAATATAAATCGTATAAATATGTTTTATGGTGTTTGCAAACTTTGTTAATTCTTTTATATTGTGTCTATGTGAAGTAATTTTTGGTTTTGTTTTAAAGTGATGTAGTAACATTTAAATCAATGTGAATGAAGATATTAATTTAGATCCGAACTTCTTTTTTTATTTTCGTTATTATTTATAGTTATTTTTTATTTTTCCCAGCTTTGTTGTTAATTTTGTGTATTTTTTAGCCGAAAACTAAACTGTTAGAAAATCATACAGCGTGATGTCGGTATGAAGGGGTGACTTACAGCGAACATGGGGTTGCGCTTCTGTTCAGAGGTTCTATCTGAAAACTCAATTTAAATGCCATAAATGAATCAGCTGAAAATATCAAATACAACGATAAAAAGATTAAAAAAATTAGTCAAAGTTGATAATCCAACATGGGTAATCAAAGTCTTTGTTATGTTGTGTTTATTTGAGTTGTAAAAAAAATAAAGTCTTTCTATTCTTTTGTTGAAGGTTTGTTTTGAAAATTCTCATAATTTTAATTTTCTCTTCAAATGTTCTATTTTCTTTACATCGCAATGACAAACACTGAGGTTTTCTCATTTTATTTGAGAATATTGAAGGAACTGCATCGCAAGACAATCAAAGAGAAATATTTTGATTAATATTTTGATATTTTACTTGTTTGATTAATTCATTCATTCTTGCTGCTTGTTTTTTTTTTTTTTTAAATCTTTTATTTGTTTCGTCTCTTCTGGTTTATTTTATCCGTTTTTTCTTTTATTTATTAGTTTTCTGGTTTAATTCTTTCGTTCTTGGTTGTATACCTATCTCAGGATTCTTTTTCTTTTATTTCTGTTTTATTTGATTCTTTCTTTGATGATTGTTTAGTATTTCTTTCTTTCTGAAGGCCTCATTATTTTTCCATTCTTTCTTTCGTTTTATATTTTCATACATTTTTCATTTCGTTTTATGAAACTTGGCTCATTGCTTATTATTTTGTTGTTTCTTATGTACCCGATTCTTTCTTTCTTTTTTTCTTTCTTTTTTCTTTCTTTTTTCTTTCTTTTCCTTTTTTCTTTTCCTTTCTTTTTTCTTTCTTTCTTTTTTCTTTTCCTTTCTTTTTTCTTTCTTTTTTCTTTCTTTCTTTTTTTCTTTTCCTTTCTTTTTTCTTTTCCTTTCTTTTTCTTTCTTTTTTCTTTTCCTTTCTTTTTTCTTTCTTTTCCTTTCTTTTTCTTTTTTTCTTTTCCTTTCATTATTCTTTCTTTTTTCTTTCTTTTCCTTTTTTTCTTTTCCTTTCTTTCTTTCTTTTTTCTTTTCCTTTCTTTTTTCTTTCTTTTTTCTTTCTTTCTTTTTTTCTTTTCCTTTTTTCTTTCTTTTCCTTTCTTTTTTCTTTCTTTTCCTTTCTTTTTTCTTTTTCTTTTTTTCTTTTCCTTTCATTATTTTGCTTTCTTTCATTCATGATCGCAGATTATTTCTTTTTATCTTTCAATATTTTTATATCTTAATTTCTATCCATCTCGGCTGATTGCATATTATTTTCTTCTTTCTTTCCTACCCGATTCTTTTTACTTTCTTTCTTTTTTTCAATTATTTCTTTCTCTCTTAGAACTTTGCTTATTATTTCGCTCTTTCTTTCATACCTAATCATTTATTCTTTCGTTCTTTTATTACATATTCGACTTTACTTTTCGTTTATCCTTCTCTGGTTACTTACTATTCCGTTCTTATACTTACCTGATTATGTAACCTATCTATCTATCTATCTATCTATGATTTTTATTTCTTTTATTTCGTTCTTTCCAAACTTTCTTCCTTGCTTGATTTTTTTTTATTCTTTGCTTCTTTTTCTCTTACTTTCTTTTTCCTTATTGCATGCTTGATTCATTTGCATCATATATTCTTTCATACTCCATCTCGTCCTTGATATTTAATTATCAGCTTTTTTTTTCCATTCCTAATTTCTAAATCGAAATTATGGCCTCTTTTTTTTTCCTATGATTCTCCACGCATTCTGGACTTTCTCACGTTCATTTTTTCGTTATTTTCTGCTCACATATTATACTTATATTTTCATTCCTGCCACTCTCTTTCCTTCTTTTTCTCTATTGTCTCTCATACAACCTCATTATATTATCTATCTATCTATCTATCTATCTATCTATCTATCTATCTATCTATCTATCTATCTATCTATCTGTCTATCTCTCTCTCTCTCTCTCTCTCTCTATATATATATATATATATATATATATATATATATATATATATATATATATGATTCTTTCATGTTTATGTCCTAAGCTTATTGCTTATTATTTCGTTCTTTCTTTCTTTCTGATGACTCGATTATTTTTACATTCATTCTTTATTTAATTTCATAACTTCTGTCATTTCTATCTATCTATCTATCTATCTATCTATCTATCTCTTTCCCCCCATGCTGTTTTCCTTAGCTGTATGCCTTTTATTCTTTCTTTCTGATTTTCTTTCTTTCTATATTTTCATAACTTCTGTCAGTTCTATCTATCTCTCTATATATGTCTCTTTCCCTCCATGCTGAATGCCTTTTATTTCTTTCTTTCTTTCTTTCTTTCTTTCTTTCTTTCTTTCTTTTTTACCTAGTTATTTATTTTTTCGTTCTCTTTTTTTTCTTTTTCTTTCTTCTTCCTGATTGCATTTTTCTTTTTTCGTTTGCCATTTTTCTCTTTCCTTTCTTTCATCCCAGCCACATATATTTGCGAAGTCGATCCCTTCTACCCTTTCATACCTTCCCGAACTTTCTATCAGCGCGTTCTTCTGAACTTTTTGTCACTCACTCACTCTCTTTCTTTGTCCCTCCATTCCCTTTTTCTTTCTTTCTCTATTTCTCTCTCTCTCTCTCTCTCTAAACCTCCATGTCAGATTCCTTATTCTGATTTTAATATCTCTTTTCCACCCTAGCCACCGAGAACTTCGCTCCATCTCCCTTACCAAGACACGATACCCCACCGCCTATTCATAAACCAGCTTCAACGTTCCCAGTCTCTACCTGTTCCACACTTCCCTTCTTGTTTACTGCATATAGCCAGTCGTTCGCTATTAGGGAAACAGATTTCAAACAAGCTTACAACTTCTGTCACTCATGAGGCGGGCGGCATGACGTCTTAATTGAATCTGTGTGCGCGTTGCTGGCGTCACCGGAAAACCCTCCGAAAGTGACGTACAGGAGGAACAGCGTTCCTCCTTCCAACATTCTCTATCCGCCACTCTTTATTCCCCCCTTATTATTCTCTACTTACTCTCACCTTTCTTTAACTTTTATATCTTTTTTTCAATACCGAACCATTTTTGTCTTTTATTTGTTAGTTTTTTAATTTCCCCCATCAGATTCTTTTCTGTCCTCTCCTTCAAATCATCTTTTGTTTGAATTGCGCTACTTTGAGAAAAAAAAAAAGAAGCATTTTCTCCTTTCAGTTCTACGAAGATTGCATTCTCATTTCCACACGGAATCTTCTTTAGGACGATTATGTTATATTTCTCTTCCTGTTTGCGTCTTTGACTTAGTTTTATTTACGATATGATCGGCCTGTAAGTTTGCTCGAGGACATGATGATCGTTTAACTGAAAAGAAAAAAATTTCAAAGTTCTGACCTCCTATGCAAAATGATGTTGGATTAGACATAATGGACTATGTATAAAATATTCCACTGTGTGGTGTCGCTAATAGCAGAGATAAAAATATATGTAGTCATTAGTATTTGATATATTTTCTGTATATACGTTATTTTCTCGATAAATTTTATTTATTTAACTAAATGCTCTGATTTAAATTAAACTGGGCAGTATTTCCATCATGCTGATTTCAAGGTTTCGTGGTCACCTTCATACGAGTAATCTTCACAGCTATTCGGACTATTTGGCTAATTTTTCTTGATTTTTTTTTTGTATTTACATATTGTGTTATGAGTGTGCTTATATATACATATATATATACATATATATATATATATATATATATAATTATTATTTATAAAAAAATTATAACATAAGTATGTTATAAAATCACTACAAAATAACCATTTTGTTTCAACACATTCTGTAGTGATTTTATAACATACTTATGTTATAATTTTTTTTATAAATAATAATTATATCTGCTCTACTTTGTATTGAGCACTCTTTTAAGAATAGTAATTGTTGGTTATTGGAATTCATTCCGTATATACCAATTATATATATATATATATATATATATATATATATATATATATATATATATATATATATATATACATTAATTAAAATAATAAGAGAGAATAGTAAGATTTATAATCCGGTGTTCTTAGCAATCATTTTTATTTTACAAAAAAAAAAAAACGAAAAAAAAACAGTGCTCGATACAAAACAGTGGAGCATAACATGATAATTATTTTCTTTTTTAAAAATTATGATTCCATCACGACACAGAAAATTCTATGTTGTAAATTTAATTGTAAAAATTAAATTTAAAATCCAGAGTTTTGTTCCATTGTCATGTCAAGCGATGGTAGGAATAACTTTCTAAGAATGTTACTTAATGGATAAGCACGGACAATCGTAACATTTTGAGTTGTTAAGGGTAAGGAAAATTCAATCTATTTTGATTATTGGTGGTTGGGTTTTAATTTCCCGAGAAAACTTATGTATCAAATATATGTTACTTACAAAATCAGGATAAGTTTAGGTGGGGTGGGGGTGGATGATCAAAGAGATAGACATCCGTTATTCAGCGCGTGGTTTAGGTTTTCAGTGACAAAAAAATAGATAAAAATGTCAAAAGCTTTTGTCACTAGAAAGTTATTCCTAGCATCGCTTGACAACCGAACGAAACTCTGGATTTTAAGTTTATTTTTTTATAATTAAATTTACAATTTTAGTTTTAGTTTTGAAACAGAAATTTCTGAGTCGCCATGTCAGTATATTTTTTAAAAGAAAATAATTAAATATATACTTGATTAATTTTTCCCTAAGTTATCTAACATATTTTTAGATTGTAAGAAATATAACTTTTATATGAGATTGAATACTATATAAACAATTTTTTGAGAATATCAGTGATTTCTTTCCGGTTACATGACTACAGTTTAGACGGAGGAGTAGCTGGATTTGCGAATTTCCAAAGGAAATTTGCACGTAAACAAATGTAACTAACCCGAGAAGAATTCGAACTCCCTTTTCTCATTCGGTATGACCATCCATTACCCAACCCCCGTATCTATATACAAAGGGAGAAGTAGAGAAAAGGAGAGACTGGTTGTGTGGAAATAGGAATCAGCACTGCTTTAAAGATTACACTGATGTATGGAATTTATTGTCACCATGCTCTGTACATCCCTATGCCTGTGGCTTTCTATATGTATAAATGCTCTATCTCAGATATTGAAAACTTATTCCGTGTAAATATAAAATTAAAATTAACCAAATATATACCTGGCAACTGTGGTCCGGGTATGTTGCTCGTAGTATCATTGCTATGACTAGCATGGACAAGCTATGACCAGCTAAGCCCAGTAGCCCGAGTGGAAACACTCGGGTTCCCCACGTTAAAACCGACCTTGTTTCACATCCTGACTCAGTGGGGCGTCAAGTAAATATTTATATAATGGAAATCTTGTAGCTGAGTCCAAATTCCAGATGATTTCGTTACATTCGCTTACACGAACATACCATTAGGAAAGGCATGAAACAAACTCATTAGTCACAGCCAGGCATTAAATAGCCGAATTTCTATCAATAAATCAGTATTATCTAAAATAATTCTTAAAATTTAAAAACATTATCTGGCATTAAATATCTGCAGAGTTGATAAGCCATAAGAAAAATTAATTCAATCAGCTTAACCCATCATCTCATCAACCATACGTTTTTATAATTTTTTTTAATGATATTCACCTTTACAGCTTACCTGTCTTAATATTGAACATGTTCTGTAAGTGTTAAATTCTCTAAGCCCTCATTCCTCGTTATGTGTTCTAGAAACTTCGATTGTTTTTTTCTCTATTGAAAAAATTAGCGTTATTTTCGTTAATATTTTTCTTACAATTTCCCCGTTGCTCACATATTCTGTACACGGTATTCTTATTCATTTGTAAAACCAAATCTTTATCGCTTCAAGTTTCGTCTTCATGTTCGTGATCTTATATGGGAGGAGATAATTTACATAGGAGTTTAGTTCTATTTTCTTTCTTTTTTTAACGAATTTTTCTCATTTCTTAATACGATGTTTAGACTTTGAAGGGGAGTTCATTCTAAATTTCATTGCAGCTTAGTATCTGCCTCATTTTTTCCGTCTTCTCTTACTATAGTACGCACATACATAAACTTCTGCATCTGTTTGATTCTTAAAATATTTCTTAATTATCTTTTACAATGCTTGACATTTTAATTCTTTTTTCTGTTTTCGCAAATAACTTCATCCATTCTTTTTCCGAACTATTTCTTTCCCTCTGATTTCTCTCTCTCTCTCTCTCTCTCTCTCTCTGGTAAAATTTCAAACATTTCTTTCTTTCTCCTTTCCATTCGTTTTAATTTCTATCTTTCAGGTTTTTTTTTTTTTTTTTTTTTCATTTACTCAGTTTTTCTTCTCTTCAATTCCATTTCAGTCGGTATTTTCTCATCACGGCCGCCATTTTCTCCTTTAATCTATCTTAGTTACCATTTTCTTTTGTTATCGTTTTCGTTTGAGCTGCTCACTTCATTCGATCGTTCATAGAGTTTTCTGGTTTGCGTGTGCGTTCGATAAACGCTGACAAGACAATCGCACGAATGAATCTCCGCAATAAAATACTTTGGAACAATGTTTATGCAGCTGAAACATCAAAAGGCGCCACTACACTCGCCTCCATCCGCGTAATACACAGAAATTCATATCACAACTTCCGCTTGCAGATACTTTTCTGTATTTCATGAAGTCCTGCGATTCACACATAATGAAGCACGCGATTTAAGGTGAAAAACAACAAACAAAAAAAAACAAAAACAAAATAAAACCCTCAAAGAACTGATAGAATGGGGCACAGATCTGCAAATGAAAGGAACCGAAATGATAAAAAGATAATTAGGAAAACCATACCAGAAAATGAAGAGAATCTACAGCATGAGATTCGTTCTCGTATTTACTGGCGAAAGAGTTTATTTTTTTTCATCAAACGTCTTGGAGAATGGATTCAAATAAGTGGAAAACCAAGAAAAAAATTCCTGTTATTCAGAACATCTTTTTGAAGTTCAGATGTCCACTAAAAGTTTTAGATTTCATCTAGCTATAGTCATCCTGTTCTGAAGAAGCGAAAATAATTAAAGTTTTGTTAAACTCAGTAACAATATTTATTTGCTTAATATATAATATATTTTCTTTTAATTTTTCAATATATTGCTAATCATCGGAATCAAAATTGTGGATAAACTCTATTTCATGACATCTTAATTGAAGTATTTTCAAATGCATTTGGTGTTACGTAGAAAATAAATTGTCAGAGCAAAGTGACCTAATGTATAACGCTAAAACTGAGTTGTCCTCAACATTGTCACAACGTTTCGGCCGTTGTACGCTCCGGCCTTCTGCAAGGGTTTCGAATGTCGAACTTAACCCTTTATTTCACTCACGTGCCATGTTTAATGGATGTCAGTTATCCCCTGTTAATTTCTCTCTGAAAATTCTCCACTGCCTTAATCGGGTATTGAACTCACACTCTTTGGGCATATCTCACTGGTGTGACGTCGTCCCCCGGTCGCAGCGTCGACTGTGTCGTTCGATCCCGTTCGCGGCGCCAATTGTGACGTCACGTGCTCCCCAGGCTCTGATATCCTGGTCACGGACAGCACCAGTTGTGACGTCTTTTGTCGCGGCGTCAGCTGTTCGCTCCTCGCTGCT